GCTGGCCGAGCTGGCACCTGCTCCGGCCGGCTCCCGCTCTTCTGGCCAATTTCGGCAAATTTTCGGACGGATTTTCCAGAGGAAAGCGTAAAACTAGCACAAGAAAAAGCACAAGAAAAAGCACCAAAAAAAGCTCAAGAAAAAGCGCAAAAAAAAAGCACCGCAAAACCCCAATTACCCTCCAGAGGGACCCCGCTACTACTTTTCATCACGGGAAACCACCAGCGGGAGCACAAAAACAAGCACCGCGAAACCCACAAGAAAAAACACAAAACAAAGCACAATCGGGAGCACAAAAAAAGCACCACAAAACCCCCCAATTACCACCCGCCCGGACTCCGCTACTACTTTTCATCACGGGAAACCACCAGCGGGAGCACAAAAAAAAGCACCACGGAACCCACAAGAAAAAGCACAAAGGACCACCTCAAAAGTCCAATTGGAGCACAAAAAAAGCACCGCAAAACTTGGCCGGCGGGCCGGTTTTTCAAAATTACTTTCCCTTCAGACCGCGCCCGGGACACCTTAACTAGACCACGGTTGGCCCGAAAGCAGAACATCGCAAGCGAGGTCGGCCCAACGCTGCAGGATGCGTTCTTTTTCCCTACACGAAGCATTCGTGAAGCAAGCGCGAGACAGCACCTGGCAAGGTGCTCTGTGCAAGTTGCTCTGTGCAAGTTGCTCTGCGTAAGTTGCTCTGCGCAAGTTGCTCTGCGCAAGTTGCTCTAGGCAAGGCGCTCTGCGCAAACTGGTCGGTGCAAGTTGGTCTGCGCAAGTTGCTCTGTGCAACTTGCTCTGCGCAAGTTGCTTTAAAATGCAAGTTGCATGTTGCGACGCCCGCCCGCGGACCAGGGAGGAATCGAACCCGCGACCCGCCGGTTCCGGGAGCAGGCGCGCGAACCACGAGACAACTCCCGAGGACCAGTTCAAACAACAAGAGTCGCAAAAAACCTCGAGTTTTTGCACCTCGACCACTTTGCACCTCGACCACGCCGATCCCCGCAGAGGGTCGCGCGAGCACCGCAGAAATCGCAAAAACCTCGAGTTTTTGCACCTCGACCACGCCGATTGTTAGAAATCGCAAAAAACCATCGATTCGCGCCTTTAGAAATCGCAAAAAACCATGGGTTTTTGCACCTTGACCACGCCGATCCCCGCAGAGGGTCGCGCGGGTTAGAAATCGCAAAAAACCATGGGTTTTTGCACCTCGACCACGCCGATCCCCGCAGAGGGTCGCGGGCACTTTAGAAATCGCAAAAAACCATGGGTTTTTGCACCTTGACCACGCCGATCCCCGCAGAGGGTCGCGCGGGAACTTTAGAAATCGCAAAAAACCATGGGTTTTTGCACCTCGACCACGCCGATCCCCGCAGAGGGTCGATTTTCGTGTAGTGTCGTCGGCACTACCCCGCCGCCCTAAGAAGAGATTTTAACTCCTCGCAAGTCAATTGCACTTGACTCCTTGCACTTGCAACTTGCACTTGACTCCTTGCTTGTTTCAAGGAGTCATTGCAAGGAGTCATTGCAAGGAGTCATTGCAAGGAGTCATTGCAAGGAGTCATGGCAAGGAGTCATTGCAAGGAGTCATTGCAAGGAGTCATTGCAAGGAGTCATTGCAAGGAGTCATTGCAAGGAGTCATGAGAGCCATTGCAAGTTGCAAGGAGCCAAGTGCATCAGTCAAGTGCAAGTCGCAAGTGCACGGAGTTAAGTGCAAGTTGCAAGTGCAAGGAGCCAAGTGCAAGGAGCCAAGTGCAAGGAGCCAAGTGCATGGAGTCAAGTGCAAGTTGCAAGTGCATGGAGTCAAGTGCAAGTTGCAAGTGCATGGAGTCAAGTGCAAGTTGCAATTGCAAGGAGTCAAGTGCAAGTTGCAATCCTTGCCATGACTCCTTGCAATGACTCCTTGCAATGACTCCTTGCAATGACTCCTTGCAATGACTCCTTGCAATGACTCCTTGCAATGACTCCTTGCAATGACTCCTTGCAATGACTCCTTGCAATGACTCCTTGCAATGACTCCTTGCAATGACTCCTTGCAATGACTCCTTGCAATGACTCCTTGCAATGACTCCTTGCAATGACTCCTTGCAATGACTCCTTGCAATGACTCCTTGCAATGACTCCTTGCAATGACTCCTTGCAATGACTCCTTGCAATGACTCCTTGCAATGACTTTCATGATGATGATTCCTTGCAATGACTCCTTGCAATGACTTTCATGATGCTGATTCCTTGCAATGACACCTTGTAATGACTCTCATGAGAACAACTCAAGTGAACCCAGCGGAAGAACCCTTCGCCATGCTTTCGGGAAAAGTTAAAAATTGCGTTAGTGCGTTAGTGCTCCCCTCAAAAAAAGACCGTTAGTGCTCCCCGCGACACTCTTGGAACGAAAAAAGGAAGGAAGAAAGCACAGACAGAAGGTTGGTGAGAAGGGCAGACGGAGGGGAGGGGGTTGCTGCGGGCTGGATGTTTGCGTGAGAGGTGGGGGGTTTGGGTGAGGTTTGGGGGGAGGGAGGGCTGGATAGGTGAGGGCAGCTTGGTTGGCAGGGAGGAGGTTGGGAGCGGAGGCTGAGAGAAGGCCGGGAGGCTGTGAATCGGAAGGCTCTGGCTTACGCTGGGGGGAGGTTGACTGGGAGGGGGTGTTGTGGGAAGCAGCAGCGACCAAGCCAAACAGAAAGGAAGGACGGAAAAGTAATGTTGCAACAGCCATGCTAGGCGTCGTGTTGCGTGTGCCTATTTAACTGTCCCATTGTATCTGCGCTAATAAGTCATAGTGCAAATAGTCTTTGAATCACTTTATTTCAAGGTCCCCGGAGCTATCCCCCAAGATGCAGAACGAGTAATTTAGGTTTCAGACCTGCACGGGTACCTAATTTAAAAAAAAAGAGCAAAGTTGCTTGTTTTTTGTGGTGCTTTTTTTTGTGCTCCTATTTGTGCTCACTGTTAGTGGTCCGGGGCCACCCCCAAGGTATAGTGTCCTCCAAAAACAGTTTGCATACTTCCATGTTTATTAGGGAGAGAGTGATAGGAGACTCGTAGGCAACATTTGGCATAGATGTGGGCAGCTTGTTGCCCTTTATGCACCTCAAACTTTTCTAACCCAAAACGGTGGCTAGCCCAGTTTATAAAAGGGCACCAAACCCCTTTGCAGGCCCCCTTGTTGACTCTGTAGGGCTGCATGGGTCCGTGGAGACAAAGCCATATGCCGGAAATCAAAAGGCAAATGAAAGGCCTTTGAGGGCTCTTTCGGGCTCAGCTTCTCGCTTCCCAAGGTTTTGGACTTGCTTTTTTGGCATGGGAACCCCCCGGGCATGTTCAACTGTCTGCCCGAAGCCAGGGGCCAGTTTACCTTGGTAGAATAAAACAGGGATCCCTGTGGCTGTGTTTTTGAGGTTCAACAGTTCAATGCTTCGGGTATCCAGCATTGTGAGTAGACTGGTTGAATGCAAGGCTTTCACTTTGACGCACTTTCTTTATCAAAAGCTTCCGGGAAAATTGCTAGCCAACTCGCACGAGCACACCTGCACGAGAAATCTTGCCCAAGCACACTTGCACGACAGAATGGAATTATCCTGTTAAGGCGGCGCGGTGGGACCGAACCCACTCTGCGAAAAAAGTCGGTGTGCAGCGCTCTGCGGGGATCGGAGTGTTCGATGCAGAAGTTGTCAAAAAGGTTATGCGGTATGTGCAGACACCAAAGCATCATCAAAGAAAGACGTGCATAAACATAGTAGCTTGCGCAGAGCAACTGGCGCAGAGCACTTGCGCAGAGCGACCTGAGCGGAGCAACTTGCGCACAGCACTTGCGCAGAGCGGAGCACTTGCACAGAGCAAGTTGCACACAGCGCTTGCACAGAACAAGTTGCGCAGAGCATTTGCGCAGAGCAACTTGCGCTGAGCACTTGCACAGAGCAACTTGCACACAGCGCTTGCACAGAGCAACTTTGAAAGAACACTTCCACACAGCAACTTGCGCAGACCAACTTGCACAGCATGCTTGCGTAGAACAACTTTGAAGGAACACTTCCACAGAAAAGCTTGCAAACAGCACTTGCGCGCGCACAGCAATTTTCCAGGAGCAACCTGCGCAGAGCGACCTTCGCAGAGCAACTTGCGCTGAGCAGCTTGCACAGAGCAACTTGCGCGAACCAACCTGCACAACATACTTGCGCGCTGTTCGCAGAGCAGCCTGCGCAGCGCAACTTGGCACAAAGGATTTGCACAGAGCAACCTGGGCAGAGCGCTTCCACAGAGCACTTGCGCCAAGCAACTTGCACACTTGCAAGGCAAAATCGCACGAGCACACTTGTGCAAGAAAGGATGCGTGAGACAATATGATTGAAATTTGCTCTGCGCTGCCCTTGATGGCCTCCATGCCGTTCATACAGGCAAAGACTGCGTTGCGCTCGCTGCACGTCATGCTTTCGGGCCGCTCTTTTAGTGTTGAGTTGGCAAACTGCTTACCTTTCGCCACGAACAAACATGGAAGTGGATAGTGTTGGGAAAGGGGCCATGTATTTCCAAGTTTTTGCTTGGAAGGGTAAACTTTGGCGTTTGGCAGGCTTCTGGATTTTTGAGTCAAGTCCCACGCGTTTTGGTCACGATTTCTGGCCTTTCAAATTTCAGGTCAGTTGGTGACACGCGCTAGTAACACTGCCCTCCGCCTGCTGAATTTGATGTCAAAGTGGTGGCTAGTGAGCACGCAGGCTCTGGCCGTGATTAGGAGAGCTACCACTCTGGGGGTGCGAAGAGCTCACCCGCAAATGAAGGTGACCTCCATGGGACTTCCTTGATTGGGTGCGGAGTTGCCTGTACAGGAGGGAACTTCCAAATAGATGCAAAAACGGCACGCCCAGTTGATTGAATTCCAATCAAAGGACAATGCATCGTTCTGGCTTGTCGGCCATTAAAGGGGAGTGGCTGCACTTGTACATTTGCAAGGCCAACGGTGACCTGCGGCGGAAGGCAAAGCGTTTCATCAAGGCCCAGGCGCCACCGC